AATGAATAAATAAATGAATAAATAAAAATCCATCAGGTGCAGCATGTAAAAACGTACCTGTACTTAAACTGCACCGTTATTGTATTGTATGATTATCATTATTAAGTATATGTATTTTAAATTTTTCTTTATTCAAAATGATTAACTACCACCACATAGTTTGCAGAGGATGGCCCTGCTGGTACTAGCAATATATCCACTGTGGAGAACTGTGTGAGATGTTTTTTCATTTTAGGACCACCTGCTGCTACAACAAAATCAAGGGCCAATATATCAAAGGAGGTTTCCTGTTCAGAATATATATTTTTTTAATTTTAACTGGTTAACTCTCCTCTCAGTTTCCTACAGCCTTTGAGTTTAATGAGCGGCTTCTGCTGACAATCCTGGATCATCTCTACAGCTGTCGTTTTGGGACTTTCCTCTACAACTGTGAGAGTGCACGAGACCAGCATGTAAGACCACAAAGACATGTCAAACTGCCTGCTCTGAGTTACTCTACAACATGCATGCAAGCATATTTGAAATGTTCAGGTTGCAATGTTTTTAAACTGTAACAAACTGTCACACTCTTTCTGTGGGCCAGGAGGTGAGGTCAAAGACAGTGTCTCTGTGGTCTCTGGTCAACAGCAAGATGGACATTTATTTAAACCCCTTCTACACCCCTGAGTCTGGCAGGGTCCTCTACCCTGTTGCCAGCATGCGTCACCTAGAGCTGTGGGTAACATACTACATCCGCTGGAACCCACGCATACGACAACAGGTATGATTACAAGAACAGCAATAACTATAATAAGAAGGGAGCTTTGAGAACTCATCCAAGGCTAATGCCCTTTCTTGCCATGATAAAGAAAGTGGTCTGTTTATCTGAATTCACACCAAAAGAAAAGTAAATTGCTTCTTCCTTGGGCCATGCCATACCCCCAGGGCTTTAGTGGGGGGTAAACTCAGGTAAACACAGTTTACATACCTCTAAAATTACAACAAAAGCAAATAGCATTTACACCACTTTTTTTTAATGGTTTATGGTTTACTCACTTATTATTGTCCGATGTTTTTAAGTTTGAGTCAAATTCAAAACCATTGTGTACTAAGCATTTTATGAGTTTCTGTGGGCCTTTCAGCGCAGTATGAATGGTTCATGAACTCGGGACACAGACAGGACAAAGGTGGACTTTTCCCTTTTAACAGCCACACACAGATCAGCTGTTTCTCCAATGTAAGATGCCGTAACCTAGGGCAACAGAGGGCTGTGTGCATAGCAATGTTGGTTTGTAAACATGGGTGACTTGTTCCTGCTTCTTCATAGAATGTTTGGTGTGTGGTAGTGTACAACCCCTGGAGTTTCGGAGAATACTGAAACAATCAACGTGTTGTGCACATAGACCCACTGTTTTTAGCGCCACTGATGTCAATCAGGCTTAATTTGTAAGACATAGCTATCTGAATTGTATGCCAACAATTATGTTTTGAACTTAATTTCAAATAATGCAGACGGTAAGTTGGCCAGTTTTACAATAAAAACACTCAGTGTATGTTGCTATATGTTATTATCACACATGCACTAATGTAAAAAGCAGGGTTTGACTGTCTCTGAATATGTTTTGTATGCAAAAAATCTTAATTTGTAAAGTAACTAGCTAATAGTAAATAGCTAGTTAGAAAATAATAGTGGAGTAAAAAGTACTAAAATACTTGCCTCTGAGATCTAATGAAGTAGATGTATAAAGTAACATGAAATTGCAACACAAGTAATGTAGTCACTCAACTTTGTATACAGTAATTGAGTAAGCATAATTAATTACTAATAATAATAAAATGTTGGACCATATGATTCCCATTTTTCAATTCATGGTACAAGATAGGTCAGTGGTACTGGGCTAGAACATGCCCCGTTTTCATCTTCGTAGCAGCGAAAATCAGTGTCAGGTCTGTCCATGATTTTCTCCAAGGGCATCATAGTAGCATATATAGTGAAAAGGTGGGAAACAAAAAAGACCCCTGTAACACCTGCCAACGTAATAGCCCACAAACATAATGCAAATATGCAGCTTTTAATGTAATAATCCCACAAACGTAATAATGTATTAGCTATTACATTTGCAGTGATATGTTATGTTTGCGGGTTGGTGAAAATCTTAGGATTCAAACTTGTAATAACTTTGTAGTCATTTTTGTTTGTTTATTTACTCATACACCCGCCAATGGGTTCAAGTCACCTCATTAGAAAATATCACGGGCTTGGGCAGGGCGAGTCAAAATGTATCAAAGCAGTTCTCTGTGTATGTTATTAATAACATTATAATATAATATGTAGGCTGTGCATTATCAAGTCCACCTTTTACCTTCTCTTCCACTTTCTCTGTTGTTCTCTCTCTGTGTCTCTCTCTAACATGCATTGCAGCTTTATCATTCCTTGTCAGTTCACAGAATTGTTTTGTGGCACATAAATGGAGTATGGGGTATGAAGTTATGACAGAGAGTCCATTTTGTGCAAAAGGATATCCTGGAACTCACCAAGTGAGGAATTGATGCCACACAATTGATGCATGGAACACAAACATCAGGCTGAGAGAGAAGTACTCTGGATTGAGTGAGAAGGCTGTCCAACAAGCACACCCAGACAGTGCTGAGAGCAAAATTTCTAAACCACCTTTAAAGCCAATTACACCTAAACAAGTTCAGTACAGACACCAAATCAACCTACTTGACATGACAGGATGTAAAGTTACACATGGGAGAGCGATCTACAAGTATGTTCTCCCTGTACAGGATGTGTTCAGTAGATATTTCTGGCTGAATAGTTATTTAATAATAATAGATATACTGAAAAGATATTTACATGGAACACGGCCCACCTAAAATTTTACAACATGACTGGATGACAGTTGTATTTAACTCTACTGTTGATTGTCCAATTGGCACCAAAATTAAAACCTAAAGCTCCTTATGTCATTATTAACTCAGGGTCATAGCCTAAACTGCTGAACAGTTTGGAAATTAAGTTGTTTTTAACTCCACTGTGCATTGTCCAATCCGCACAAAAATTTTAAGCGAAGATCAGAGTCCAGGCCTGAACAGCACCATATCTCGATATTAACTCACCTTGAATTGGTCATGCTTCATCAGAGCCCTGAGCTTAACAGATCTATTAGTCTGTATGTAGTGATAGTTATAGCCCCACCTACTGGCAGGAAGTAATCCTTGTTTTACAACTTTGATTTGATTTACATAAAATGTTTACCTTGTGGTCTGCACTTGATGGCATAGACCCTGATGCATTATTGGTGGGCTTGGTTCGGCATTGCATGACAGACTCAGGAAGTTAAGCGTTTATCCTTATCATGGTGCGCAAAATGCACGCAACACACAGCCGTTTTGCCCGACCGCACAACTGCCAACTGCCAGGTCCCGAGTTTGCAAGTGCTCAGGCCCACTCAGGGCTGCTTCGCAGCCCTAGTTCAAGTTAAAAATCTTTACTTTAATCTTTGTTGAGAACAAAATGATGTAGCAACAGTAGTGTGTATGGTGCCTGTATGCACTCCCGACAATGTCTCGGCATGCAGTCGATGAGTTGGCCGATGGTGTCCTGGGGATCTCCTCCCAGATCTGGTTCAGGGCATCAGTGAGCTCCTGGACAGTCTGTGCCGGTACTTGGCGGTGTTGGATACCCCAATACATAATGTTGCATAGGTGCTCAATTGGATTTAGGGCAGGCGAACATGATAACATCAATGCCTTAGTCATCCAGGAACTGCCTACACACTCTGACCACATGAGGCATTGTCCTGCACCGGGGGAACCCGGGGCCCACTGTGCCAGCATAAAGCCTGACAATTGTTCTGAGGATTTCATCCTGGTACCATTGGCTATGACATGGAGGCCTGTGCAGCCCTCCAAGGATATGCCTCCCCAGACCATCACTGACCCACCACCAAACCAGTCATGCTGGATGATGTTACAGGCAGCACAATGTTCACCACTGCGTCTCCAGTCTCTTTCACGTCTGTCACATGCTGAGTGTGAACCTGCTCTCGTCTGTGAAGAAAAGGGGGTGCCAGTTGCGAATGCCAATCAAGCTGGGCTGTGAGCACAGGTCCCACTAGAGGGCACTCATACTACCCTCATGGAATCTGGTTCTGACACTTTGGTCAGAATCATGCACACTCGTAGCCTGCTCGAGGTCATTGTTTTCCAGTGCTTCTCCTCACACAAAGGAGCAGATACCGGTCCTGCTGCTGGGTTGATGAAATTCTAACGAGCTGGACTATCTGTGCAACCTGATTGGGCTGCAGGTACTGCCTTATGAAACCAGTAGTGACAAGCACACTAGCACAACACAAAACTAGAGGAAAAAAAATGAGAAAGCAATTGACCGTGGCCACCACATGTAAAACCATTCCCTTTTAAGGGGCTGTCTTACTTTTGCTTTTCCATTGCATCTGTTGTCCGCATAATTTGCACCAAACCAGGTAAAATTGATTCACAATCACTTGTGCTTCCTAAATGGACAGATTGATATCCCTGAAGTTTAACTGACTTGGTATTATACTGTGACGCTTAAATGTTCCCTTAATTTTTTTGCAGTGTATATAAAATATTTTTCTTTTGAATGATGTGTTGTGTTTGTTAATGTGTCAACAAAGAAGAAAAAAACTATTTTAAATGTGGAAGGGGGACAAGGTTTTTAAGACCCACACCCAGCCTACCCAAACTTGGACACTTAAGAGATTCAGTAAAGAGACAGGGTCAGGGCCTTGACCATCGACCTGTGTTGTCCGTGGTAAGGAACAAGTAGGCTACTGAAACAAAGATGAACCTGCTGCAGAGAAATCCTCAATACAAGAAGTGTTATGCCTTTGCAAAAAAAGATAGATAGATTTAGGTGCCACAAATCAATTCTGTGAAATAACAAGGAATGAGAAAGCTGCGTGCATGTTTGAGAGAGATAGAGAGAGAGAACAACAGAGAAAGTGGAAGAGAAGGTATAAGGTGGACTTGTTAATGCAAAGCCTATATTGCATGCAATGTTTCTGTAACTCACAGCATTGCTTTAACATGTCTTGACCCACTCTGCATGCATATGTGTGAAGTTATTACAATTTTCAAAGCTTAAGATTTTCACCGTCCCACAAATGTAACAGATTACGTGTTACGTTTCTAGTAGCTATTATGGGAAATGTATCACAATATTGGGATTGTTACATTAAAAGCTGCATTTTTGTATTGCGTTTGTGATTTATTACGTTTGTGGGCTGTTATTAAGTTAGCGGGTGTTACCCCCTTTAGCACGCCACAAAAGAGAGGCACAAGAGAAAGAGCCATCTCCAAGTGAACTGAGAGGGATCTATCCAACACATCAGAGATAAAAACCAATCCAGAGCCACATCCCTGATGCCAATAAAATTCTTTAGATGGCTAATTGAGATATTGTGGTCCACTGTATCAGAGACTGAGCTGCAGTTGAAGAGGGTAATATTGAAGTGGACAGGCCTTTGTCGACTGCAAGCTGTGAGTCACTGGTGACCTTGACCAGAGCAAGGAGCTGAAATCAGATAAAAGATTTTCATTAATTTAATTGTTTAGAAATTAAACCAGTTGGGTGAAAACTTTTTTTTCTAAAATTTTCAATAAAAGTTTATAACTTGGAGATAGGTCTAAATATAGAGAGGTGTCTGGGGAGGGCTTTAAAATATATGCACTGATGGTCTGAAATACTGCTTTTTAAAATCAATTCTGATTCAAACACAACACAGTTTCTCTCAGCCAAGGTTAACGTTTCCAATTCATAATTCAGATTCAGCCTAATAGATTTTCTGGTCTGATGATCTCACCAGTACCCATTGACATTTTGCTTAATGAGTAGATTGTGAGTGTCTTAAAGATTGATTGCGATATAAGGTTAATAATGTTTGAACATCCATTAACAAAAAATATAATGAGTCAAAACATGCTAATTAGCCCAACTTTGGAAAGTTTGACAATATTAGTTTACTCCATCTGCAATGGGAGGTATATTTCAACTGTCATGTAAAGTGTGTGGCTGTGCGTGTGTGTGCTTTGTGTTTCAGCATCAGAGTCCAGTGGAGCAACGCTACAAGGAGCTGTTGGCCCTCAGAGAAGAGTACTTGAAGAAGCTGGAGGAGCTGCAGCTCTCTGACACCTCTCCTTCCTCCCATTTGGCTAACAGCCCCACCCCCAACACATCCTCCTCCACCTCCTCCACACCATCACAGCAATACACACACCTACAGACTCCCTTCTGAGGGCTGGTGACAGATACACACAGATACCCCCTATCTCTCGCTCTCTTTTCTGTCAATCTTACAAACATTAGGGATTAATTATTATTTTTGCAGTCCTAACTGGATAACAAAGAATACTAATAAGATTTAGATAAGATTGTTAACTCTAGCACCATAGTGTTGATGATGGGGATTTATGCAAAATGTCACATTACAGCCTTGTCACAAGACTTCTCTATATACTCATTTATTATACAGTGAAGCCTTAAAGACATTCACTGCAAGGGTTTGAATACTCAGGACTAACAGTGGTTGTCTATCAGTGTCCACACAAGCAAGGCTGAAGTTGTGTATTTTTCATCTGCACTATATTCACACAAGTACTGTTGGTAGTTATTTTTAAAATCAGATCACCACTGAACATTATTACTCTATAGGTTAAATGGTAAACTGAGATGCAAAACGGTGTGTGGACTGCACTGCTGTTTAAGAGACAGAGGTTTGTCTTTAGCTTTGATTTAGTTGGACAAAAATAATTTTAACTCCAAGTAAAACCACTCACATTTAATGTTGTCAAGTGTATGGTTGTTGTCCATTGAAAGGATTCTTCAACATTTCAACTGACAGCAAGTTAACCTCTGTGCCTCCAATTAAATGTATTTCAGGGTTGTAGCTTGGTTTGTGTTAGCTTTAAACAAGGGCTTAAAGCAGACAACAGTGCTAAACAAGCTCTGTTGACAGTTAAATAATAAAAAAAAGTTATACCCAAAAGAAGATCCCCAGCATTTAGCGCCAACTTCCTGTGTTTACTTTCAGTTAAACAATAGTTGGTGTCCTTTGTGAGCAAATGAGGATTTTTCAGAGTGTTGCTCTGATCCATGAGGAATCAGTTAGAGCAGCTGCAGAGCTGACGGAGGAGCTTCTACAGTCATTATCACGTTATGACTTCACCTAAGTGTCGGATTTGGATGCAGTGGTGTGGAATTTTATTTTGTCGGTGTGGAATTTGCTGATCGGCTTATGAGGGTGAAAGCTACATTCATGTGTGTTTTGTCACTGTTATCAGCCAAGCTCAATTAAGCACTATTTCCCAGCACTTCCTAATGCTATGGCTGAGGGTAAATACAGTTCTAGCAAGTAGTAATAGTTCAGTAAGAATTCATCTATCATTTACTGTTATGAATGCAGCTTTGATGTGGTTTGAAATATATAGTATAGGGAAATGGATCCCCCTCCCCTTACTTAACACAGAACCCAGATCGAGAGGCCAGCTTAAGTCCATGATATACTTACCATGCCTGTATGTTTGTTAATGGTTTAAGTGACGTTAAGCAGAAAAGATACTAAACTGTTCAATAAATGTATGTAGATATACACACCAACCTCACTGAAAAGTCCCATGCTATCTCACAGCACATGTGCCTTTTGGACATATGATGGTTAAACATACAAGAGTTGTTTCTCATATTTCACCAGGATTTAGTTAATTATGATATCAGTGTGTGGACTTGTTTATATGAAGTGTCTGACTGCTCATGTGTCTGGCCTATGAGACTCTAGGTCATCCCTATGTGCAGTAGATTGACAATGTCAGTAGAAGTCAACATTGAAACATATGCAAAAACATAGTATCAGAACAGTAATGATGGGGAAAGCTATAATACATGTTACTAACCGTGATTGTATGTGGCAAGTAATGTCATTTTCTTATAGGACATTCTATGAAAGATAATTTCTGCTTGAAAAATTAAAAACAAAGTATTTCGAATGACAAAATATGTCAAAAGTTTTACCACTTTCAAATTAATTTTTCTTCTTTTTTATTTCTATGCAAGCTTTTATCTTACAAGAATGAGATAGTATTAAGTCACTATTTTATCATAATTTTTCCTCAGAGATATGACTTACTATCTCATAATATTGACATTGTAAAGTACTATTTTGACATTTAAAAATTTAAATCATGAACATTTATTCAGAATCTAAATTATGCCATTTTTATATGGTATTGTTTTTGACCTACTGAGTATTTTAATTTTCTTTTAAGCTAACAGAACTTTTTCCCTCCTGACTCAAATGACCTTTCATAAAATGCTCCTTTAAAAGGAACATGAAAACCATTCTGTCCAAAAGTCGAATTCTTTAGAAGTTGTCTCTGGGTTTCGGTGCTGCTGTGAAACTGGTGTCTACATAGCAGTGTGCAGAGTCAAAATCTGGATACCACATGGACAACAGTGTGTGTGGAGTAAACTGAATACAAATGATCTATTATGAGAATGGAATTCAAAGTTTTTGTAGAAATTAGCTCGAGTGAGGATTTTGCTGCTAACTCAAGGTTCACATTTTAGTTTGAAACCAACATACATAATGAACTCAGACATATGAGTCATAATGTATGTCAAAAATGTGCTCTGTGTTGTATCATTCAGTTTGTCTACATGGCAACGTAAGTGTTTACTAATGTCAGTCCGGAGTGTCAGTCTTAGGCTGGTAGTCTCAGGTACTTTATTTTAACCTGGTCCACACTTTAACATAATTGAAACCTCTGAGAGAGCCATGGAGCTTAATTTTTTCAAAAGCCAGTGCTGTGACTCTCAGGAACAAATGCAACACAATGAAATGTACTTCAAGAAGAGCAATACCACTCTTCCACTTCCTCCAAAAGTAACAATACAACCTCTAATCCTTTAATATGGACAACAAAATTTGAATCTTGGCACAATTTGTAACATATTATTGAAAGAGTTGAGCAGAGCCATTACCACTGGATTAATAGATAGCAAGAAAAAATTATTAACATCAGCAAGTTTTCTTTACATGAATAAGAGAACTATTTGAACGGTACAGAAAATATTTTACAAAGTAGAAATCCTTTGTAAATTAGTTTATGTGATGGTCTAATCTCTAATCACAAATGAATATTGCATTACAAAAAACAAGCACTCTGTTCTTTTAAAGACGATGGGCCTCATTCACCAACCGTTAACTCGAAGATTTTGAAAAGTTTTTAATGAAGATTCTGACATTCACCAATGTTTTCATATCTAGGATTTGTTCCTATGCAAGAAATCTAGGCAGTCACAACTTAAATGATTATGTACAAATTTCAGTTCAGTGAATATTTGGTCAATCCTGCAAAAGATAACACTTTTTAAACACATGAACGAGGAGAATATTCAGTCACAAACATTGTCACCCATCTTTAGATTTTATGTACTGCTGTTTGCAAATTGAATGTGTCATGTTCCATAGTTTTACTGCTATAGCTTCTAGTTCAAATGTTACGTCCAAGTGTAGCCTATTAATTCTGAAAACTGAGTTTATTTCTATTCTGGGACGAGAGATAGCTCAGGAGATGCAGCCACACCCCCAATGGTTCCAGTCAGTCTCAGGTCGAGTATCAACAGATGCAGGATGACCTGCAGTGTTTCTAATGATGCGATACGATATTAATTTTTACTTCAAATCTTT